GGGGGGGAATGAGAGATTACAGGAGGGTTTTTTATTTTGCCAGCAAATGCAGGTCATCTCATGGGGTCTCTCTTTCAAACATTGTGCCCCTGAATAAGGGATCAATATACTCTTGCCCGTGTGCTTTTTAGACTTCTCACTTAGTGAGTCTCTGAAAGGGCTTCAACTGACATGGTGGGAAGGCATTTTACATGCGTTCTCATAGCTGACAATCAGGGGACCTGCCACAAAAACGGTCTTGGGAGATCATTAAATTCCATTCAATATCTATAGTGTCAACATTTCAAAACCTCTACGAGAGCACTGCTGAGTTGCTTTTAGAAGAAAAACAAACAGATCTAGCCTGATAATCCTTTACAAGGGGTATATCTTCTCAATTCTTGTCTCAGTGTTGTAACCACCTCTGCATCTTCAAGTGCCTTTATTTGTTAAAAATCTTTCATGGCAACCAGACCTGCACAGTACAGTAAAATCTAATGAAAGCTTTGCTACGCATAGCCCAAATTCTGCATTTTTCAATTTTATCCCATGGTGCTAAACCAGAGTGCTTCCCCTGTTTTTGCTACAGCCTTATTAACTGGTGTCACGATTGATTTATATATTTGTACTAGTCCCTTTGCTTCGCTACACCATTTAAAATTTCTATTTCTAATATATGCCCTTAATTTTTCTTCCTTACCAAAATGTAAGACAGCTTGGAATTTATTTGCCAATTCTATGTCCATTCAAGTTCATTAATAATCTAAATGATACTTTACATGTTTATTGATATGTGATTTATAAAATATGTTTTAAAATAATGTAATGAATAATCTCCCTATCCCATGTCCCCTTTTCTCATTATATAGGATTTGGAATCGCAAGAATTTTGGAAAGAAAATAATGATGTCACTTATGCAACCATTGACCACACTAGACGATTGTCTAGACCACCAGCCAAAGCAAGAAACAAATCAAATCAGTTTACTGAAACTGCCTCAGTGATGTATCAACCATACATGAATTGCCATGTAATCTACTAAAATAGGAGCCAGTCACTGTGAAGCAAAAGACATCACCTACATGGTGTGCAACACTTTAACAACTGTGAAGTGTATTTTCATGCATTTACTTTTGCTGCAACAGTAAGCCATTAAGAATTAAGTGTTTCATATAATTGCTTCAGTTATCATAAATCAGTGTTTTATTTTTAACTAACAAAGATCAAATAAAAGATTAGATGCTAACTCAATCAGTCTATATAATTCTAAATAGCAATATTATCACCTGACAAAATCATGTGAAGTAAATGTCTTTCAGATATTTAAGATTTGAGAGAGATTTACAACTTTGCAGGAATTTCTGATAATTCCTGTAAGGTTAATAGGACCTCAAAGAGAACAATGCAGCGTAACAGTTCGAGTAAAGGAGCTTGTTGTGATGGAAATAGCTCAAAGACTCAAGATATTTAATAGATCATAAAAACAAAGTACTTTTGTTAATTTTCTGTACAGGAAGACATGCTAAAACTCCTTACTAGAAATCCCTCACACTGACATTACATTGTCAGCTACATTAAGTAAATATTGATATATTCTCTTTACATTTTTAAATAAATTACCTTTGAATTCTCTGTACACAAAAGGAAATTGATCTTAACATTTAATATATATTACAAAATATTGAAGTTTCACTTTGAAATATGGTAGTGCAAATTTTTACTTATCATTCATGTATTGTGCTGTAAATGCAATGTGTTATTTTAAATGTGTTATTTCAAGAAAAATATGAACTCCATGCTTTAGAGTTCTACCCCTGGGTATTCACTGGCAGTAATTTTACATCTGGTTGATCCTATAACCAGCAAATTTTTTGAATACTATGAATGTTCATTCTTGCTGTGAAATTTTATTTACACATCACTTGTATGACAAGCACGATTTGATGCATGCATCTATATTTGAATATCAATTTTTTTCACACATTTGAAGAGCTCAAAGCCTAGTTGTTGTAAACAATTTCATTTTGTTTTGTGAGAAATATGGAATTCCAGGCTTACGCTCTTAGTCAAAAGCATTGAGATTGTCTTTTCTCTTTAAAGTGATTGTTTTACACTTATAATTACTGGACAAAACCAGAGTTTAGTTATGAGATAAGAACAGTATGAAAACTGCGCAACAAATCTAACCATTAGATAAGAAGCTCCCAACATTGATGACTATCTTACTCGGTTTCATTTTATAAAAATGTTCACAGATTTAACAAAATATGTCAGGAACATGATGAACAAAGTGCGCATAGTACGATATAATACATAAGCTTGCAAACATAAGATGCATTAAAATTAACCTCAATACAATCTTTGCCTAATTAACAGTAATTGCACCTTAGAAATTATTTCATGGTGTGAAGTGTTTCCAGGTGTTTCTGCATGATAAGGCACTATATAAACAAGTCTTTTCTTTTATTATAAACCATTTGTACATGCTCAATGAGTTTTATGTGAATACAAAATATTTTGGTCACCCATTCCAAGGATGTAACATATGGAACATTAACAAGAGATGCACATTAAATGTACAGTATATTCTGAATAGTCATATCCCTCAGTTGCTTATTCTCAGCAAACAATTTTTGTCAATTAAATAGGATTTGGTAAAAATAAAATACATTCATAGAATGAAAACTTTGTACTTAAAATTGCAAGTTACAACAGGTAAAAGCACGTCAACATTTTCGTTACCATTTCCCATATACAACACAAAATTTTAAGTACAGTAAAAAAGACAGTTTCAATCTATCAATACTGACTTCACGTTTCCCTTGTGTTACTACAACAAATATAACTTAATTTATAATATACAATGTACAAGATTGGCTTAACAAAGTTGTTAAGCCAGAATAGCAACATCTACCATTCTTAGTTATCGCCTTGTTCTCTTTGGTGGCACTTCATTTTTATGCTGTCCCCTTCTGCGTTCTCCTGGACTTGCTTCTCGTTTGCGTCCTTGTTTAGTCACAGGAGATAGCTGACTCCTTGATCTGTGAAATAACAAACTCCTGTGATATACAGTAGGATACAGACCTGGATCTAAATATTCAGTTTAGAATTCTATCCTTGATTACAATTCCCCACATTTAATTACAACGTGACTCAAATTATCTTTCGTGGCTTTACAGCCAAATCTTCAGTGAGACATAATTTGATTTATGCAAACGTATGAATTAGGTGCAGGCACTGGCCACGGGGCCCCTTGATCCTGCTTTGCCGCTCAGATTACTCCATTTTCTTCCCACCCGATAACCTTTCACCTCTTGTTCACTGAGAATCTATCTATCTATCCCTGCCTGAAAAATATTCAAGGACTTTGCTTCCACCACCACTTCTGGAAGACAGTGCTGTCAGAGAAAAAAAAATTCTCATCTGTACCTTAACCAGTTCTAGATTCTCACACAAAACATGTTAAGACCCTACAGGATCTTAGCAGCTTAATCAAATCACCTCTTACTCTTCTAAACTTGAGCAGATACAAGTGTAGTTTGTCCAACCTTTTCTCTTATGGTAATCCACTATTCCAGCTATTAGTCAGCTGCTTCCAATGCATTTACATCATTTCTCAAATAAGGAGGTTAGTACTGTGCACAATATTCCATGTAGTCTCACGAATGCCCTGTGCAAGTCAAGCATAACTTCCATACTTTAGTATTCAATTGCCCACACAATAAACAATAACATTCTGTTAGCTTTCCTAATTATTTGCTGTAACTGCAGACAAAGTTCTTGTGATTCAAGCACAATGCCAGTCAGCTCCCTCTGCATCTCAGAACTCTGCAATCTCTCAACAATTAGATACACTTTTTAAAAATTCTTCCTGTCACAATGGACAATTTCACATTTCCTCAAATTACATGCCATTTAACAGATCTCTACCCATTCATTTAACCAATGTGTATCACTCTAACTTCTTTATGTCTTCTTCACAATTTACTTTTCTAACTATCCTTTCTTGATCAATAAATTGAGCCACCATACCTTTCCTCCATTCAGAATTCGATCCACTGTCCGCACTGGCTCCCTAAGCAGTTTGAAGCATCCTCTGAGCATTTATCCAAATAATTTATATAAAAAGTTGAGGTTCCAGCACTGATTTATGTGGCATGCCTCTCTTACATCTTGCTAACCAGAAAATGACCAATTTATGACTCTGTTTCTTGTTAGCTGGCCAATCTTTTGCCATGCCAATATGAATGTTAATTTTCCACAATAACTTTTGAGACAGCTCTTTATCATATGCCTTTTGGAAATCTAAGTACAGTGCATAAATGACTCCCCTTCATCCAAAGCATGTTAGTTCCTCAAAGAACTTCAACAAATTGGTCAAACACAATTTTCCTTTCACAGACATAGGTTGACTCTGCCTGATTATTTTGAACTTTTCCAAGTTTCCAGCTACAGCATAGTTAATGATCGCTTCTAAGATCTACTCTATGACAGATATTAAGTTAATTGGCTTGAAGTTTCTTGCTTTCTGTATCCCCATTTTATGAATAAATGAGTTACAATTGCAACTTTTCAACCAAATGGAACCTTCCCAGAATCTAGGGAATTTTGAAACACTAAAACACACTAACTCTCACTCACCAATTCTTTTAAGACTCTAGGATGAAGTCCATCAGGTCCTAAGGACTTGTCAGCCTGCATTCTGGCAATTTGCTCAGTCCTACTTCCCTGGTGATTGTAATTTCCTTGTTTTCTTCTCTCTTTTCTATTTGCTGATTTTGATTGATTAATTGATTGATTTATTGTCATGTGTACCAAGTACAGCGAAAAGCTTTGTTTACAAGCAGTACAGGCAGATCATAGTAAGCAAGGATGTACATATCAAATAGGTTTAAACAGATGCATACAAGTTACACTGCACAGGATCAGCATTATTTGATGCTAGAGAGTCCATTCATCAGTCTAATAATGTCCGGGAAGAAGCTGTTCCTGAATCTGCTGGTGCGTGCGTTCAGGCTTCTGTATCTTCTACCTGACGGAAGAGGTTGTAGGACAGCATGACTGGGGTGCGATGGATCTTTGACGATGTTGGCAGCCTTTCCACGGCAGCAAGCCATGTAAATAGGAGTTCATGGATGGAAGGCTGGCATCCGTAATGGTTTGGGCTGTGCACACTACCTTCTGTAGTTTCTTATGGTCCTGGGCAGAGCAGTTGCCATACCAGGCCATTATGCACCTGGACAGTATGCTTTCAATTGTGCATCTGTAGAAGTTGGTTAGGATCCTTATGGGCATGCCAAATTTCCTGAGCCACCTGAGGAAGAAGAGGTGTTGATGTGCCTTCTTGGTCATTGTATCTACGTGGGAAGTCCACGACAGCTTGTCGGTTATCATCAATCCAAGGAACTAGACACTCGCCACCCTCTCAACCTCAGTTCTGTTGATGTAGATGGGGCCATATTCTCCTACTTTCTTTCTGATTTTACAGCTATTTCTGGAATGTTACCTGTATTCTCTTTTGTGAAGGCTGATGCAAAATATCTGTTCATTTGCAGTCTCCTTATTTTCCATTAATAACTTCAGATCAACTTGTTTTAAAATATCCACAGAAACTGTTACTGTTTTATATTTCTAGTTTATGCTGTCTCATATACTCTAAATTTTCCCTCCTTATTACTTTAAGAAATCCTTTGTTGCTTTTATATGTTGCCTAATCTTCTCATCTACCACCCATCTTTGCACAGTTATATGCTTTTCCTTCAAGTTTGATATTAGTTTTAACTTTTTTAGTCAATCATGATCCTTCCCTTGGAATTTTTCTGTCTCATTGGAATTTACCTATTCTGTGTATTCTGAAATATCACCTTAAATGTCTGCATTTCTATTGACCTATCCCTCAACCAAATTTGCTAGTTCACTTTAGCTAGCTCTGATCTCAGGCCCTCGTTATTGCCCTTATTTAAGTTTGAAATACTTATCATCTTGGACCCATTCTTCTCTCCCTCAAACAGATTGTAAAATTCAATCATGTTACGGCTGCTACTTGCACTCAATTAAAGCACCAGTCATCCTGCCAAATTTTCCAGTGTTAGTCTGGTTTGTATTTTTCAGGTGGACTTCCACGGGGATTATCATGTTTGGAAGGATGGATCTGGAAGGGCTTGGCTATCTACAGTTGCAAACTCAAATCACAGCTTGCTATGGAGCTGTGCCAGGTGCGGCATGCTTGATTTCTGAAATTTCCAAATTGTAATCATAAAAAGTGAACTGATCAGCAAAGTGCTTAAAAAGTTTGAAGGGCCTTTCACTAGATGCTAGAAACTTGCTTCTATCACCAGTTTTCATCATTACCCTCAGCTCACATCATCACCAGTCATCTCTCTCTAATGAGGGAGCAGCCCTATGGTCCTCTGAGACTAATTAATATCACCGCCAGCAGAAAATCCAAATCTGATTTGGCTTTGGACTGCAAGCATCAGTCAAAATAACTCAATTTAGACAACAGCCAACGTAATCTGATGGCCAGCACAGACTGCAGTTGCAACTTGGGAACAGACAGAAATTCTGACACAGCGGACTGAAGAAAATTTTCATCCAATAGGCAATTTCCTGCATCTATAAAATATTCCTCAAAATCGAAGAAATTAGAGAGTTCTGACTGATTTAAGCTGAATAGTTAGCGAGGAATAACTAGAAGATTAGAAACATACTCTTAAACCCCAACACAGCACTGATTCATCTACATATATCCCCATCAGTCCTGACAACCCCGACTTGACATCTAGCCCCCTCCAACCTCAATGGACTTGCTCTCCCAAATGCCCAAGCCCCCGACAAATCACAAACTCACCTGACACCAACACCCAGCACTCCCCTCTCTCCAATTCAATAACATTCTGCATTGCCTGTTAGATGCAACATCAGCCACCCCCCTCACCATGCCCCTCAAAAAAAGCATGAAGATGCTTTGAGTGCAATTTGTTAGGGAAGTAAACAATTATTAATCCAAATACCTATTAGAAAGACTTGGATTGCTTTCGCACTACAATAAGCTGTACAATAAAATGGTCTCCAATGTTGAGCTGATGAAGATATTGTGTGTTGTAGGCCACCTTGGTATAAGTTAGTAGCAATACCAAAGCACATTACATTGCTTAAATCAGTAATTGTGTCAGCAAGCAGTACAGGAGACATGAGTTCAAATCTCAACACGGTGGCTGGGGAATTAAAACTCTGGAATTAAAAATAGCTCCCATCAGTAATGAGTATATAAACTTGTGGATGATCAAAAAAAAATTGGGTTGTAACTACAGTCATTAAATCATTTGTCTTTGCATGGTTGGGGAGAGAAGGGAGTGGTCTGTAAAGGCAGTGGGAGAGAAAGAGGTTTGCAAAAGGGGAAATGAGTCTGAAAGGCTACAACAGTTTCAAAAACAGTTTCAATTTGTTAAATAAAGGAACATTGAGCTAATTTGTAAACACAAAAAGTAGGGTAGCAAATTCCTTGCAAATTAAATTGGAGTCTCTAGGTTAAAGTTTTGAAGTTGGTGGGGAAATACAGTGGATGCTATTATAATGAATACTGTATCATTTAAATAATTTAAGATTGGACAGTTTGTTTTTTCTTAATTATAGAATTCCTACAGTGTGGAAGCAGGCCATTTGGCCCACTGAGTCCAGACCAACCCTCCAAAGACTATCCTACTCAGACCCATCCTCCCTATCCTGTCCCTGTTTCTACATTTCCCATAGTTAATCCACGTAGCCTGTACATCCCTGGAAACTATGGCAATTTAGCATGGCCAATCCACCAAACCTGCATATCTGTGGATAAATAAAGATTTGTTTTTGTTTGTTGTTATCTTCACAGTTTTACTTTTTACTTAAGGTGCAGTCACTGTGTTACAGACAAATGTATAATTGTTTAACTATGATCCCACCAGTCTGCAGAAAGCAAGTTTAGGGTGATAGCTTTTGCGTACTGAAGTGTATGTCAATAATCTTTGAATAAAACAATTGTTGATAAATTATGCCTGCTGTCTTGTGCCTATTTAAATATACCGGGGAGTCTAGGAAATTACACTTTCCATATCTATTTAAATTTACGTTTAGTGGAGAAATAATGATTACTGGGAACTATGATGAATTCTACTAATTCTGTTTCTGTGCAAGTCTAAAACCCCTATATATCAGCACAAACACACAGGGCATTAAGTCAAAATGACTGCATTACCCAAAGAGTCAGTTAAGTTGAAAAAGTAACTACCAAAAATCAGAAAGTATCCCTTCAGAAATCTCAACAGAACCTTTCTTCGTAAAACAACTGCTTTATCCCATAAATCAGCTGAGTACAGTTTCTCTGAATTGCTTTTCATGCAGTTACACCTTTTCTTAAATAAGGAAACTAAAACTGTACACAGTAATCCAAATGTGTTCTCACCAATGTCCTGAACTGTACCAAAACATTTCTGCTTTTATCTTCCTTTCTCTTTGCAATCAACAACATTCTATTTGCCGACCTACTCACCAGCTGTATCTGCATTTGTAATTCATCTACTAGATCATTCAGATTGAAAACACATAAATTAACATCCAGTCCGTCAGGCCTGCTTCCACCATTCAATAACATTGCTCTGTACCATCAAGTTCTTCAATCTGTCTATTTAAATAATATGGTGTTTTCGTTTTTCTGCCAAAGAGGACAACTTCACATTTTTCCACGATATACTTCATCTGCCATACTAATGCCTACTCATCTGAATCATTGATACTCCTTCACAACTTATTCTCCTGCCTATCATTGTGTCATCAGCAAACTTAACATATATGTAGTCATTTCATCCAAGTAATAATTACAGATTGTAAATAGTTGATGTCCCAAGGATGTGGCACCTCGTCACCGGAAATCCACGCACACCTCACCTACATGTCCCCTTTTATCAACATTGCATGTTACTTCCTCAAAAATATCAAACATTAGTCAATTTTATTTAATAAATATCACTCACAGAAAAAATATTTTTGTTAGTTTTAAGGTTGATGCACCTATAAGTGCATTAGTTAAATCTAGTAACAAAATCATTTAAAAATTGAAAATTATCATAAGTAAATCAAAACCAATTTCTCCCCAAAACATTGGCAAGAAGTGAGGACTGAACTTTAGAGATCTGTCTAGGGACCAAGTGAAATGTCTTAATAGAAACATAATTAAATATGCACTAATTTTCTGCAAAAGGGATAAACATTTGTGGCTTTACCTTGTAACTGACATTGTTACTGGAGTTTTCGCAGCTTTTGTATCAGATGCTGGTTTCTCTTTTGCTGGAGCCGATGAACGCCGTTCTCGTTCAGTCACTGGGAGATGCTCAGGGCTATTAATTCTTTTGGCTGCACGAGTAGTTGGTTTATTCTGAATGTTTAAATCAGATATCTGGCTTCTGGAATATAAAATAGGAAACCTTTACTGCAGATATACAGGGTCTTGATGAGATCACATCTGAGGTACTATATACAATTCTGGTCCACTTGTTTGAAAAATATATATTGTTTTAGCCATTCAGAGAAAGCTCGCAACCGGGATAAAAGACTTATTTTATCAAGCAAGTTTGAAAAGGTTGGACCCAGACCCACTGGAGTTTAGAAGAACGCAAGATGTTGGATGGGTACACAGAACCCCTGCAATGTGCAAAGAGGTTATTCGGCCCAGCGAGTCTGCACCAGCCCTCTGAAGAGTATCACACCCAGACCCAGCATCCTCTACTCTATCCCCATTACTCCGCATTTACCATGGCTAATCCACCTAGCCAGCACATCTTTGGACTGCGGGAGGAAACCGGAGCACCCAATAGAAACCCATGCGGACACGGGGAGACCACATAAACTCCAAACAGTCACCCAAAGGTTGGAACCAAATCCGGGTCTGTTGCACTATGCAGCAGCACTGCCAACCACTGAGCCACCATGCGACCCTTGCCATGATGTTGTTTCTATTTATGGGGGAAGACTGTTTAAGAAAACAACATCTCGCTTTTAAGACAAGGTAGACAATGACAAGTAATGTTCCCTCTAAGGTGCATGGCTGCTTGGAGGGTCTGCACATGTCAATTGGCACGTGGACAAATTGAATACTGCTTCTAGAGGCTGCTGGCACACGCTAACCTCAGAGGTCCACACAGTAGCAAGAAACATTAGGGGAAACATAGGATAGGGAGACTTTTTTTTTCCCTTGCTGAGGATTGTTAAAACATGGAATTCTCTTCCCCAGAAAGCAGAGGAGACTAAGCCATTGAATTTATTCAAGACAGAGTTGATTGGATTTTTGAAAGACAAAGTCATCTACAGTTATGGGGGCAGACAGGAAAATATACTTGAGATTAGCCACGATTCTATTGAATGGCACAGCAGGCTTCAATAGGCGAATGATCCACTTCTGGTCCTATGTACTTTGTTCTACAAAATGGATAAAATACCATGGTATGTACTGAACCCGAGAATAGCAAGTCCCTTTGTAGTCTGACTATCAGGTATGACAGAAGGTCTTAGTCATAACATTTTTATGTGATGCTGTTAAAATCCCAGCATTAGCACAGGCAACTAATCCTTTTATAATCAAGTGATCGCAGTTATTCCCACCAAGGTGCTCATCTTTTTAATTAAAGGTCACCTACGCAACTAAGGCCACAATGGAAGAATCTGCATACTGTTGCAAAAACAATCATGAATCAGCGTGACAAGCTCTGATTTCTGGAGGATGCTAAATTGCTCAATAACTATCTGAAACAAAGTTCTTGGCACAAAGGTCATTGCAGAATTTGAACAGAATTTGTGCCATGCTGCAATGTTGTAGATGCTATATTTCAGCTAATACCTTAAACCAAGTCGATGTCTGCTCTTTCAGTTGCATGCAAAAGCTATACTGGAATACAAATAAGAGCCTGCTGCTCTGATCAATGTTCTTCCCTCAACTAAGACCAGCAAGAACAGATCAGATGGTCAATTATCTCATTGACAATTAGAAGCTATTGTCCCTGCTTACATATCATGAGATGAGAGTTTTGGGTGTAACAGCAAGGTCTACCAGCTGGAGTACAACGTGGGGAAGTGTGAGATCATGCACTTTGGTAAGAAGAATGGAAGCATGGACTATTGAGAAAATTCAGAAGTCTGAAGTGCAAAGAGACTTGGGAGTTCTGGTCCAGGATTCTCTAAAGCTAAACTTGCAGGTTGAGTCATTAGTCAGGAAGGCAAATGCAACTTTGGCATTTATTTTGAGAGGACTTGAATATAAAAGCAGGGATGTACTTCTGAGGCTCTATAAGGCTCTGGTCAGGACACATTTGGAGTATTGTGCACAGTTTTGGGCCCCATATCTCAGGAAAGATGTACTGGCCCTGGAGCGGGTTCAGAGGAGGTTCACGAGAATGGGTCCCTGGAATGAAAAGCTTAACATATGAGGAACGTTTGCGGACTCTGGGTCTACACTCAATGGAGTTTAGAAGGATGAGGGGGGATCTAATTGAAACTTACAGAATATTGAATGGCCTGGACAGAGTGGAGGTTGGGAAGATGTTTCCATTGGTAGGAGAGGCTAGGACCCAAGGGCTCAGCCTTAGATTAAGAGGAAGACCTTTTAGAATGGAGATAAGGAGAAACTTCTTCAGCCACAGAGTGGTGAATCTATGGAATTCACTGCCACAGAAGGCTGTGGAAGCCAGGTCATTGAGTATATTTAAGACAAAGATAGATAGGTTCTTGATTGGGTGGCAGCTTTCAGGGAACTGTGGACATGAACCCCAAGATCCCTCTGCTCCTCCACACTGTCAAGAATCTTTATAGAAGACAGAGTTGGGATAAGAGGATATTTTCAGGATGACAACATGTAGAGTGCTACAGAGATCAGTGCAGGGCCACAATTATTTATAATATATATTAATGACTTGGATGTTTTTGGATGACGCAAAAGTAGGTGAGAAGGCGAGTGACGAGGATGACAGAGTCTGCACAAGGATATAAACAGGTTAAGCGAGTGCGCAAAACCTTGGCAGAGAGAATGTAATACAGGAAAATGTGAAATTATGCACTTTGGCAGGAAAAATACAGGAACTTATTATTTTTAACAGAGGAAGTCTGCAGAAAGCTACAAAGTAGAGGGATTTGGGCATCCTCTTGCACAAATCACAAAGTTCAGCAGGTAATAAGGAAGGCAAATGGAATGTTGGTCTTTATTTCAAAGGGAATAGAGTATCAAAGTAGGTAAGTTTTGTTAGAACTATACAAGATTACAGCTGGAATGCTGTGAACAGTTTTGGGCTACTTATCTAAGGGAAGATCTATTGCCATTAGAGACAGTGCACAGAAGGTTCACTACACTATTATCAGGTATAGAAGGACTGTCTTATGATAAGAAATTGACTAGGTTGGACCTGTACTCATTGATATTTAGAAGAATGAGGGCAACCTAGGGGACTTAACAGGTTAGATGCAGAAAGGTTGTTTCCCCTTGCGGGAGAGTGTAAGACCAGAGGCATATTCACAGAATAAGGGATCACCAACTTAAGACAGATGAGGAAGAATTTCTTCTCTTAGAGGATGGTGAATCATTTGGAACTATTTACTTCAGAGGGCTGCAGAAACTGGCTCGCTAAGTATATTCAAGTCTGAGAAAGACAGGTTTTTAATTAATTAGGGAATCAAGGGTTATGGGGAACTAAGGTTTGTCAGATCAGCCATGATCTCATTGAATGATGGAGCAGACTTGATGGGCTGAATGGCCTACTCTGCTCCTACATTTTATGGTCTTGCATTGTGAAAGCCGAGGGAAATCCCTACTGACCTGTTAAGTGTTTTTCAATTCATTAAGGGGCCTCCAGCAGGTAGGCTTATAAAGTAGTAAAACATATCAGCTTCTTACAGTATTCACTTCATAGAAGCTGTAATTTGATGAAAGGACTAGATGTGATTGCACAATTATCAATCTAAATGTTCCTATTAGGAGTTTACTTCAAAATTTTAACACATTAGAAATGGACAAAGTCATTGTAAAGGATACAATAATTGGATATTTCTTTTTTCAAAGTGTACCTCTTTAAATTGTCATAGTTACAGAGCAGGAAATCACCTTGTTCTTTCTTCAAGCTTGGTAGCAATTTTGCCCCGAGATTGTGTTGGTTTTTCTACATCTGGTTCTTGAGCTGATACAGCTTCTGAATGGGGTTTGTGCATATCCTCCTCCATTGTAATTTTCTCCTCTAATGGCATTCATAACACAGCATGAAAATTTATTAGTATTGGTATCTAAAGACTGAAATTCTTATAAGATGTTTTTGATTTGAAAAATGACCACCAAATGAAAAAATATTAAGATGAGATTGGTTTATACTTACCTGAATGAAGATGCCTTCGTTTAGAGGGATTTTCTACTGGAGAGTAAGGGCGTTTGGGTTTTCTTTCTCTTCGACAGGAACTTTGTTCTTCAGCACCTTTAACAGATTGCTCCTCCTATATCGGGAGGAAAACTTGTATGATCACATCGCATTTGACTTATTTTAAAGCAAGATTATACACCGGAGCCAAAAACTTAGTTACATGAATCATCCTTCCAGAACACTCAAAATATTCTCTGTACAACAATTGTTACAATGCAGTATTTTGCCTGTATAACTGTCCCACAAATGCAAAAGCAATTAATTGTGAAAAATATTGATAATGTTTGATCCAAAACTCTCAAGTATTCTTTATTTCAATTTTAATGAGCTTACATAGCAAACATACTAGCAGCGCATAGGTGTCACTGCTGAGTGAAGAGAATTGTTATTAGCTGTTGAATAACCTGCCGACATTCATTGTGTAGGTATCCAAGAAGAGTGGTTACTTTGGTGACACAAGGGATAGTTGTCATTGACAATCAAATCATATCCCAGCTGTGTTAGAACATTCAGAAGGATAAAAATTGGAAAAAGATGGGCAAAAATACTTGGAAATGGTAATAAAAGCAACATTTGGTCAAAAAGATTCATGTGAAATCATGATAACAAAAAAAAAGTGTTCAGACCTAGTATTTCATGAATTTTACCAAAACAAATTGATACAGCCTCCTACTTCACATAGCAATATACTTATCCCTTGACAGCGCTAGACTAATACTAATTTTGTTCTGTCTTATTCAACGTGCAACATCTTGAGATCAATTGCAGCAAACCTGAATAGAAAACCAGTTTAAGTTTCTCCAGATCACAGGTTACTGGATATAAACTTACAAAGCAAATATCTACAAAGCAAAATGAATAATGTTCAGCAAGAGAGGCTCTCCTACTTGTTGGATTATCTGGGCCTAGCTGGTCATTACAACTAATACAAATGCTATTCAATATTTTACATATTAAAAATTGAATCCCTAATAAAAGTAATTATTTACTCATTACTGGCAAAATAATTAACATAAACACCTACAGAATCAAGCAATTTGTGCTGCTTAGTGTGATCAAGTTGTGAATTTCTTTGTGAAGAGATAGCATATAGAGACAATGCTAGGTAAAGATATCTTTGCTTAGGCACTTGTTAGCGAGTGGTGAAATGAGATATGCAGACATATGCACAGAAACAAGGAAAATCAGAGGGATACACAATTGAACCCTTTTAGCCTTCTCTGCCATTCATTATATGGTGGGACTGGCTGATAAATCTTCACTGAAATATGGTACTTATAAAACATTGGGATAGAAAGAGGATGGGTGGTTGCCTGTTACAGTGCTCGAGAGAGGGCATGTCCCAGAGACTTCCAGGACAGAAAATATTTGATTATAGGTACAATTAGTGACTTAAAAGTGGTTCCTCATACAGAAGCAAGTCGAAACATTGGGACTAGCTAAATTGCTCTTGCAAAGATCAGGCATAGACATACTAAATGGCAAGTACCCAAATGGACTTGGATTTGCCTGCACTGCTGACAGTTTGCTTTCTATTGCTATAAATGATTTGGCCATAGACATTATTAAGTAGACATTATTCAGTAACACCAAATTAAATGGACATTGCTTACAAGAAAGAATTCAGAAATATGAAAGTGAAAGAAAGTACTCCTCTGTAAAGACTAAAGATGATAGGATTCTAGGTTGTACTTTAAATTTATACATTAGACCAATACTGGGAGTAGGGTGTGTAGCTCTAAACATTCCGTAATAGGAAAGAAAATGTAGTCAGGGACAAAACAGTGGACATTCACAGATTAAACGCTGTAATAAGGCTATAATAAAGGCTTCCGTTAATTCAAGAGGTTTTTTAAAAATCAAAATCATTTAGAAATCCAATTATGTGAATTACTTCATGTTAATGAGCACAGAACATACAAGAAAGACTATTTTTCTTTTAAAAATCAATGTGATGTATACTTTCGAGTCAAAATCCTGGAACTCCCTCCCTAACAGCATTGCGACTGCGCCTACACCAAATAGACTGCAGTGGTTTGAAGAAAACACTTCATTACTACCCTCTCAACAGCAAATTGAGATGGACAATAAATGCTGGCCAGCCAATGGAGCCCATATCTGCTGAATAAAAAATTACTTGAGCAGTCTACACGCTTCACAATGCAAAGGTTCACTTTGCAATATTATATGATACATTCTGCCAACAACCAGAAGCATGCCAGTCACTTCTTGGTCAAGCATAATTTGGTAAATTGCAGGCTAGTAGCAGAAACATGCTTGTGAAGATTGCCATATTGATTTATAAACTCAGCCAGTTCTTTAATAGAGATAGTAGGAACTGCCGATGCAAGAACCAGAAATAACAAGGTATAGAGCTGGATGAACACAGCAGGCCAGGCAGCATCAGAGGAGCAGGAAAGCTGACGTTTCGGGTCTGGACCCTTCTTCAGATTTTCAGCTTTCCTGCTCCTCTGATGCTGTCTGGCTTGCTGTGTTCATCCAGCTCTACGCCTTGTTATCTCTGGTTCTTTAATATACTTTATAGGTACAGGGAACCTACGATGCTTGTCCTGTCTAGTCTACATGTGACTTGGATTTACTCTTTGTGGTTCACTCTGACTGCGTTTGACTGTGGTCTAGCTATCAGGTGCACAAACTACAAATGAGAAATGAATGCAGTGTTGCCAAGGACAGCAATAAAAATTGGAGTCATGCCTACGACAGAGGCTGCCTCACTATCATTGTCTGCTCATCAAGTCAGTATTGGCTGTCTGTACCTATGTAGAATCCATGATAGTCAAATGGAGCTGGTGAGTTGAATTTACAGTGGTGAATGTCATTTTCAGTAGATTCCTCTCTTAGCTGCTTGCACCTTTTTTTAAATCCTTATTCTTTATGGGTTTTCATATAAGCCCCACAATTGTTAGACGTCAACATGACTTTTCTGACTTAAGATACTCATGTTTTCAACAAAGTGACTACTGTTCCTCAAAAAAAAAAGCAGTACTATTCATGGACATCATTATATGGGATTCTTATTCTGTGGGGGACACAGACAAAAAACAATGTCATGAAAGAAAGGGCAGGGAGAGGAACTTCCAACCTGTAGAGGTTTCTTTCAACCATCACCCATCCCATGCTATTGCATGTTCGTGCAAACCATCACAGTGTTGTAGCTCAGATCTTCTCTCACCTGAAAACATTTTGTCGACAAAAGTTAGCATTTTACTTGGCAGCATTTTCTGAATAAACCCTGGATTGTAAGATTGCAATTTAAAAATGTTATATCTTATCTTGATGCAAACACTTTGTGGAAATACCGTTTACTGTCTCAAGTGTTGAGTTATTGGGTGAATTCATTCGCCCTCTTCTGCAAGGTGAGATTACATTGCCCAGGCACACAAGCAGCTCCAAGCCTGAATTCAAATTAAACTGCAAATTTGGGAGTGAATAGCAAATTCAAATCAACAAATTTGCACTGAGTTTCTAAGTAAGCAACCATTATTCATTAGGAGGCATTATTTTTCAATTTGAATAAAGCAGCTTTTAATCAAAAGTAAATGAATTATAAAGACTTAAAACTGGCACTGTACCACTGGTAGGAAAAGAAGAGGCGTTTATTATAGGTTTTCAGAATCATGGAAAGTTGCTTTCACAAGCGACCCGTTATTAAATGTCAGTGATTCCATTAGATAAGCAGAACACATGCCAAGTACCGTATCAAAGGCAGAAAGGGAAAGGCATGGAATAGGAAGCACACTAGAATCACCAGTGATAGTTGAACCATTTGACATTTTAGTTTCCAGCAACATGTACCCTTGCTGTATAGCTACTTACCGCAGCTTCATCTTTCCACTCACAAATGGCACTTGTGATTATCTCTGATACAACATCCTGCTGAACTGGCAACTCTACATGAATGGGTAAAGAAATTTAGTAAGGAAAACTCTTTGCAAGTTTGTGTTATAAGTTCTGTCATTCTTATCGGCATAAATCCACATAAAGAAAACAGCTACCTGCAGGACTGCAAAGAAAATATCAACTTCTTGTTCACTTTTATCCAAGTCTATTCATATACATCTAACATGAGGTTGTTTTGTCAAAATAGGATGATAGTATGCATATATTTAAAATTTCAATGATCTTTAAAGGTACGTCCAGACATCCAGGGCAAAGTGGTACAAAGAGGGCTTGATCCATGAAGTTAAACATTAATTTTCTCCATGATTGATGAATGGTGGCAGCAGTGTGTATTTGTAAACAAACTGCACTGCAGCAACTCACCAAGGTTCCTTGGACATCATCTTATAAACTTGTGACCACTACCACCTAGATCAACAGTGGAAGCAGACTCATGGGAATACTACCACCTGCAAATTTCCCTCCAAGCAACAGACCACGCTAACTTGGAGCTACTTCACTGTTCCTTCAATGTTTTCAGAATCAAATACTAGAACTCCCTTTCCAGCAGCACCATAGGCGTATCTAAACCAAACAGAATGCAGTTGTTCAAGAAAGCAGCTCACCAACTTCTCAAGGACAATTAGAAATAGATATGAAATGCTGGCCTTGCCACAAGATACACATTCATGAAGAAAACAAAAAAAACTTAGGTGAAGTTAGAGCAGATAATAGCACACGTCAAATCACTGAAATCTCCACTGTTATGAAATACACACTGCGAGGAAAATGTGAATGCTTTCCACAACCACTGAGAAAGCTAAAAGAACCAGTTGAAATCTTGCCCTCAGTAATACTGGGAAGGAAAATCAGTAGTTCTGAACAGATTGTACCATGCAAAAACTAAATCTAGACTCTACAGTGTACTTTTAACATTGAGTTTTTAATATTCTTGGCCACCCAATCAATGGAGGATCATCGTACACTTTCTCCTTACCTTGCGTTTTCACGTTCAACGAGTCATATTTTGATTCTAATTCTTCAGCTTGCTGCTCTTTACATAAAACTTGTTTGATATTTTCTGAAGTACAAGCCTTTTGCTTTTCAGAATCTTCTACAGAAGATTCAACCACATCTTTGGAACCAGAGCATGCCTCATAGCTAAAGTTTTCATCAAGTGTTGGAGTGGCTGGCGAAGATGGATTATAATGAACAAACTGTGCTATGCTTGCAACTGGATGTTGAAGACTTGCATCATTTAATGTTGGAGTGTCTGCAGAAATAGTCTGATGAGGAGGAAGTAAAGACTCTTGTTGTTCCACATTTGGAGGAATGTTTAACTCATTCAGCCTTGCAGTTTGGTCATGAGTTGGGTCCTCAGTTTGCTCTTTTTGCAACAATGCTGCACTACAATTACCAGTTCTGATTTGTACAGATTTGTGCTCTTTTTCACCATTTGGCACATGCTTCAAATGCTTGCTTTCACTCACTCCACTTTCAAAGGCTTCATTTCTCTCCTTTAGTTTGTCTTCACTTTTCAAAAACTTCTCTGCTTCTACCTTTAAATCTCCTGCGTCATCGTGTCCAATTCCTTTTGTATCCAGCATGCTTTCTTCTGATTTTAACTGGGAGCTTGATGTACCAGTTCCCTTTTCAGCACACTGATCAGCTTGTACTTTTTCCTTTGAACTTGACACAAGGTTTGCAGAATTTTTTCCTGTATCATCTGTTTCGTCAATATCTTTCATTTGCCGGTCCTCTAATATTGATTCTGAACTTTCAGAATAATTTTTCTTCTCTGTCTCACTACTTTTGAGAGTTTCCTGCAGATAAGCTTCAGATTCCGGTTGATCATTCTCAGGTTCGTTTCTTTCTTCAGTTCCATTGCCTTTACTAGGTTTCACATTTTCCTTGGACACTGACGTTAAGTTTTCCAGTTTACTTTTTGCCTCACTGTTTTGAGCATCTTGAGAACCAACTGCGAGTGATTTGGAAAAATAATTTTGAGACTCATTTTCTTTCAGCTTTTCACTTCCTCGATTATTTTGTATTTTATCCAATGATCTTGTTTGAACGTTTTCAAAATTATCCTTCTTTTCTACATCATTCTCACAGCTTTGTGCTTTTCCTGTAGGCTTTTCTTGCAGACTTTCTGAGGATTCTTTGGATTTTGACCAAATACATTGGAAATCATTTTTCTTTTCCTCACCTGTTTCACTGTCTTGAATGTTTTCTTGATCTTCATTTGTTCGAGACCTT